CCTGCTATACTCCCTGCCTCGGGGGGACTAGGGGTCCCTGCTATACTCCCTGCCTCGGGGGGACTATGGGGGGGTCCCTGCTATACTCCCTGTCTGGGGTTTGTTCTGGTAGAGGTGGAGAAATGGTTTTCTGTCTATTTCCCGTTCTAGTTCCCAGCTGGCATGGACCCTGTAGCTAAAGACAGATTAACAGGAGAAACACAGGCTCATCAACATGCCTGTTTCAGAGCCACCTGGGAGCCCCTGGAATGAGTGATATCCAAACAGGTGGCTGTGAATTCAGGCCCACATGGCCTCTCAACCAACAGTCACGATTTAGGGATGTCACAGGCAGGACGTGGACTGAGTCTCCAGGTGGTGTCTCGGAGGGGGCACGGAGCTGGCAGAGGATGGCAGGGCCTGAGCTGCCTTTACCTTTGTCCGTGGTGGTAGAGGAAGGGGCCTCTGCCCGTAATTCCTGTCGCACTCTTAGGCAGCACGTGAGTGGGGGGAGCTTTTCTTGGACCTGGCGCTTCTCAGTTGTCTTTGTGGGCACGCAGTGTTCACCCCAACATGGCACAGTTCGGGGTGCTGCACCCTGGTTTGCCTCTGGGGCCCCTCCTCAGTGTCCAGCTCTGTGTTAAAAGCTGCCGTTCTCGTCCTGGCAGCCCTTGAGCTGGTTTCCGGCTCCCTCTCCTGCTGGCCCAGAGGTAGGGTGGGGTCCTCACTTGGCCCTGACCCTGGCTCTGCCCAGCCTCTCTGAGCCATCACCTTCTTGATCTCTGAGGTCAGAAAAGGGGGTTGTGCCTGGGCCGGGCCAGAGCCAGGGTCTGTTGTGAGAGTTTTGAGAGCCACTGCCCTGGGGGCTCAGTGTGGGGTGAGTGCACTGGAGGGGGGGAGGTGGCTGGGGGCTGGGCTGTGTCTGCAGTGGGCACTGGCTGCGCAGCTCCAGGGATGGTGACGGTGGGGTGGGGGTGTCTGATAGAGCTGCCCTCGGGCGGTGACTGTGGGGTGGGGGCGTCCAGATAGAGCTGCTCTGGCGCCGCTGTGGACCCCTGTATCTGACCAGGTGTGGGAGCTACAGACTGGGAGACTGTCCTGGGCTCTTACAGGTCAGGACGGAGGCAGTGGCAGGTGGTCTCTCATGTGGTCACTCTTGGCTCGGGGAGATGGGAGCCCTGGGCTGGCCTCAAGCAGAGAGCGTGGGAAGTGGGGGAGAACTTGGAGAGAGAAGCAGGGAGAAGCCAAGGTCGCAGAGGTCCCAGAGCAGGTGTTGGCATGTCCAGGGCAGGTGTCGTGAGGGTGAGGCTCAGCCAGGGGTGTCTTGGAGTTGCTGGGGAGGGGATCTCAGGAGGGGCTGTTGGGAGAGGAGTGGGTCCTGGAGGCTGCCCGCGCAGCCTGACCCGAGTTCCCTTGTCCTTCCAGGAGACGGTAACCTGCACCTCAACGTGACGGCGGAGGCCTTCAGCCCATCGCTCCTGGGCGCCCTGGAGCCTCACGTGTATGAGTGGACAGCCAGGCAGCAGGGCAGCGTCAGCGCGGAGCATGGCGTGGGCTTCAGGAAGAGGGACGTGCTGGGCTACAGCAAGCCACACGAGGCCCTGCAGCTCATGCAGCAGCTCAAGGCCCTGCTGGACCCCAAGGGCATCCTCAACCCCTACAAGATGCTGCCCAGCCAGGCCTGACGGCCGCTCCTATCACTGCCAAGGACCGCTGGGGGTCAGCGATGGCCCACAGGGCGGGAGTGTTGTGCTGGCTCTGAGTGATGAGCTGGCAGCGGGCAGGGGACCGTGGCCGTCACTGGGAACTGCAAGAGCAGGCCCTCTGCAGGAGTGTCTGGCAGAGCTGGGGGTGGGGCAGACTCCCCCCTTTGCAGGCAGGGCGAGGTGAGGTGTCTGCTGCCGTCCTGACCGGTCGGTGGCGTCAGCTTTGCCCCTGTGGAAGCGGAACTGGGTCTCTCTTGCCTGGTTGGGGGTCTCTGCCTCTGCCTTGCTTGCCGAAACCCTGAGGCACTGGGTGGTGGTTCTGCCGTTTGCTGCTGGTGGGGAGTGGGGGCTGTGGGCAGGGCCACGTAGGCCATGACCCTGGGTTGCCGAGATGACCCAGGGGCTGAGGCTGTGCTGAATGGATCCGGGTCCCACAGGCCGTGGGTGCCCTTGGGAAGGGTGGTGGTGGCTGGTGTCTGGGCCCGAGTGACAGGAATGTGTCATTTCCTCCGTCTTCTAGAGGGCCTGCCGGCTGGGAAGACAGTTACCAGGGCGAGCTTTGCTCTGATCTCAGGTTCTGCTTCTGCAGAGGGTGTGCAGTGAGTGAGGCCACTGTGGAGCGCTCCTGCCGGTCAGCAGCCCTGGGCAGCCAGTGGGCTGTGCGACCCACTTGGGGGCACCTCTGTGCCTGTCGTGAACGTCCAGTAAAAATCTGAATTGGCTGCAACCTTCTCTGTGCTTTTGTCACTGGAAAATCATCTTGCGAAGCCCGTCTGGAAGTGCCTATGCATCCCGTTCCCAAAACCCCTGGTTCACTGGGGCCATAGTGTGGCCGGGGCCTGGTTCTGCTGCCACTGCCGCTGTGCTCTCCCTGCCCCTGTCCCCATGCACTGTCCTGGCGGTGGCTGAGCTCCTGCAGGCTGCACGGGGCAGGCCTGGACGTGGAGTGGGCACCCTGGAGGCCCTCAGCGGCGGGGCTTGTCCAAGGTGGATCCGCAGGCCCCACCTGTCCCTGTGGGCATCAAGGCTCTCGGATCCTGCTCAGAGGTGGAAACCTGCTTCTGATCCTGCCGCCCTGCACAGCCCGCCTGCCTAGCCGGGGCCCTCTGTGGACAGGCCACTCTTCGCCATCCCAGGCGGGTATCCTGGGCACCTGTACAGTGTCTGTTGCATAGAGTAGACTCCAGGCCCCATGGGTACCTGACACGAAGCCCCACAGCGTGTGCCTGTGGCCCCTGAGGTCAGCCACCGGCTCCTGCCTTTCCCTCTGACCTCTTGTTGGGGGCCGGCCATTTTCCCGCTGTGTTCTCTAGCTCTGCTGCTGGGCCCGTGGACTCTGCTGGGTTGGCTTCAGGCCAGGGTGAGCTGCTGGGCCGCTGACCAGCTGTGCACTTGGCATCCCACCCCGGGTGGTTGCTGCTGGTGTGGCTTGGGGGCTTTCAAGCTTCTGCCCATGCTGGCCACACGACCCCACGTCCCGCCCCTGGGCAGGGACCTGTGATTCTCAGATCTGCGGTCTGTCGCTCTCCTGAGAGTCCCCTGGCCACGCTCTTAAGTGCTCACTTCTGCTGTTGGAGAGGCCAGCGGGGGGACAGGGAAAAGCCCAGAGTCCCAGGCTCCCCATGAGGATCTGGGCCCAGCATACACTGGGGCTGTGAGGCCTGTCCTCGCCTGCTGAGAAGAGTCTGGCTGGTGGGGTGCCTGCGCAGGGCAGAGGAGGAATCCATCCCTCTAGTGGTCTCTGGACCTCTGCGTCCATACTGCCTGCCGCCTGGCTTTGGGGACTGGGGGGCGGACACAGCCCAGGAATGTTGGAGAAGGAAGAGGCCGTGGCCACTCTTCCCTGGGGCTCTGGCTCCAAGAGGCTGTGGTGACTCTGGGCCCGAGCCCTGCCATCAGCCAGGGCACTTGTTCCTGGAGCTCCATGGCTGGGCCCTGCTGTGTTCACCTGCAGTTCATCCAGCAGTGGGGAGGGGGCTTCTTAGACCCACCTCACGGTTCTCTTGTGCCTTTAAATGATGGGAAGTACAACACAGCCAGGCAGCGCGGGTGCCGGTGAGAGTCTGGCTGCCTGAGCTGGCCCGAGGAACGGCCTGTTGCCACGAGGAAACCCACGCTGCGTGGTGGCCGGGAAGCCAGGGATGCTCACATGCTGGAAACCTGCTCAGTTTCTCTACCTAAGAGCAGGAAAATCTGATCAGACCCAGATTTCCAGATACGGACTGTGCCTCACAACCTGAGGGTGAACACGGATTGTGAGTGACTGATGGGGGAGAACTCGGTGAATCTGCTTGAGGCAGGCCACGGGCCTTGGTGCCCCGGAGATAGCTGTCGGTGGCCACGTGACAGTGTTGAGTGTCCCTGGTCAGCTGTGTGTAAAAGAAATGCAGGAACTCCACACCGCCCAACCTCAGTCTGGGGTTCTGACAAAGCCTGCAGCCACGTGGAAGGCAATGGAAACAAGTAGGTGGGGAGGAAGGTGGGTTTGGACCCTCCATTCTGTCCACAGCGGCTCCGGCCAGGTGGGTTCTGACCCCATTCCATCAGCAGCCGCTCCGGCCACGGTCGTTGGGGTTTGGAGGTGCTGAGGGGCAGCCTTCGTGTTCGGATTAGAAGCCGGTAATTGGCACATTAAGAACTCTGAGCTGCAACCTGAGAAGGTGTTACACAACCAGGGCCCCTGGGCTGAGGCCAAGGAGGGGGCAGAGGGAATGGTGGGAGGAGCCCCAGGCAGGGTCAGAGCTGCCTGTGTACAGCTCCGGAGAGGGAAGAAGGTGCAGGCCTGGTGTTCTCAGCCCCAGGGGAGTGGAGTGTGGGTAGGGAACTGCCTGCCTCTCCCACCCCACCTACCCCAGGACAGCTGGCCCCTGGAAGCGCCCTTGGGAAAGCCAATTTCCTCAAAGCATAAGGGCGAGTGGTTGGGGTCCAGGGGTGTCTGACGGTTGTGGACTCAGGGCCCAGAGGAAGGGTTTGGGGTTTGGGGCTCCTGTGGCCCTGCAGGCCCCGGAGCACGTTCATCAGGACCCTGGCTATGGGAGGCAGAGGTGACGGGCCTGCAGGGCAGCGTGCCTGGGCCCAGATGGCAGGCATGTCACCAACCAGTGACCAGAGCTCTGCCCACCTGTCCTGGTGCGTCAGCCTGCTAGCAATGGGCCTCATGCTGGCTGCCCTCCAGAGCTCTTGGGCTCAGGCCCTGTCCTGCTGCCTCTGGGTGCCTATGACCTGCAAAGGCCCTACCCCCGGCCTGTGTCCCTTGGGGTGCGCTGACCATCTGGGACCCTGAAGTTGCCTCTGTGGTAGCTGTGTCCACCCCACCCAGGCGACAGAGGAATGGAAAATTATCCTACCTCAAGGAGCTGTTCCATTGCCTGGCGTGGTGGCTCACGCCTGGAATCCTAGCACTTTTGAGAGGCTGAGGTGGGAGGATTGCTTGAGCTCAGAAGTTTGAGAACAGTTTGGGCACACATGGTGAGACTCCTCTACAAAAAATTAAAGTTGAGCCAGGCATGGTGGGACGCCAGTTTCCTCCTGGTGGAACATCCCAGACCTGAGCCCTCCTGCCCACTTTTCCTTGGACATGCACATAAGGAGCTGGGGCGGCCGGCTGCCCCCAGGCTGAGGCCCTGGGCCAGGCCCCTCCCGGCTTTGGTAGATGGTCAGACCCAGGGCAGGCACGGGTGCTTGGCCATGCTCCCTGACGCTGCCTCTTGGACCTCAGTGGGGAGGACAGACCAGGGCAGGGCCCTGGAGGCCACAGGGGCCGGTAGGGGTGGTGATCCTGGCAGCCTTACATTCAAGGGCTCTGCCCTCCTGTGCCCACCCCTGCAGGGGCAGTCCCTAGAGGGAGCATAGGCCCTGTCTCCCCACCTGCCCTTCTGAACAGCAAGAGTTGCTGTGAAGTTTCTAGACGGCGGACAGGTGAGGAGGCGCCTCCTGGGTGTGCCCGGGCATGGCCTGACGGCTGGGGTCCTGCTGGGCTGTCTGCTCCTGTGCCTGTGGGCAGGTCCTCAGGCGGCCTCTTGGCTTCCGCTTCGCCCCCTCCCCACCGGCCTGTGCCAGTGGCTGTGCAAACAGAGGCCACAGTGGCCAGGAAGCAGGGTGATACTCCCTTTGTTTCTGGCGAAGTGTGCAGTGCCTGGAGCCGCCTTCCCGGGTTCCGTGGCCCTGGGGTCCGGGGGACAGGGAGGGGATGGTGCATGGCGGCCAGGGATGCTGGCGTCACTGGGGAACGGTGAGAACCGTTCTTCCTGGTGGTGAGGGTTCGCCCCCGACTCTGGGAAGCAGAGACTGGAGCAGGGCTGGGGGTGTGCACGCGGGCGGGTGGGTGGCCCTGGATGGTGGAGGGCGGGCAGGAGGAGTCCTACGGGAACCCCCTCCTGCCAGCCCCTGGCCGACCCACAGTCCACTCCACTGCCTGCCCCAGGACAGGAGACTTCCTTCCTGCAGCCCTGGACCTGGGATCTGAGACCCAGAAGCCAACTCTGTCCTTTGTCTGCTGTATTCTGAGTTAGGGTACCCGTGCCCCTGCCCCGAGGTGGCCCTGGGCTCACCCACCTACCCTCAGAGCAGCTGAAGAGGGAAACGAGCGTTCGTCCTGCCGGCTCCTGGCTGCTCCCCGCCGGCCTTGGGTCTGCTGGGCGCGGCCCTCCCAGTGGGACCGGTGCTGACGGAGGCAGGTTCCTGGGCATGTGGAGCTGTTCCTTACACAAAGCAGCTGAGGGGCCTCTGGCCAGCACCCCCCAGGTTAGGGCTCTGCCGTGGGGCGTGTGCATTGACGTGTTCCCTAGTCACCGTGGACCAGGGGCCTGCCAGAGCAGCTGATTCCTATCGGGGAGCTGGGGCCAGGCAGACACCTGTCTCTCTGGGGCTCCTGGCAGAGCCCCACTGGTCATAGGCAGCCTCCTCCTTCTGGCTGCTGGGTCTCTGTCCCTTTCCCTCCTTGGCTGGGCCTGGGGCTGGGACCACTGCTGACGCCACGCTGCACTGTCCCACGCTGTCTGCCCCCGGAGAGGTGGTTGAAGGTGGCTGGTGGTTGAGGAACCCCCCCGAGGCCCATCCTTGCTCAGGCCCATAAGTCACTTGGGGTCTGGGGAGCTGGGGACTTGGACCCAGGAGGGAGGTGCCTGGCTGTGACCCTTGGGCGTGTGTCCCTGGGCACGTCGCTGCCCACCGGCCCCACCGTCTGTAATGCGCAGCTCAGCCAAGGGGATTCTGGGGTCAAGGCCCATGAGGCACCATCTGCTTTTCTCCTGGGCTGAGCCTGCGGTGCCCTGGGCAGGCTGGGTGGAAGGAGCTGGGGAGGCTCCCTGACAGGGGAGCGAGATCCCACACAGATGTCTCTGGACAGTGGAATGTGGAGGGCGCGGGGCGCGCCGGGTGGAGAGCTGCCCAGCCGTGCCAGCGAGGCCCCGCGTCCTCCCGCCTGCTGTGAGCACTGGGAATGGCGCTGCCGGCCCCTCCCACAGACTCGGGCCAAGGAGGTCGACAGAGCAGCTGGAGGGAGATGCCCAGGCAGGGGCGGGGGCTCCAGGCCCCTGGGCTGCAGGTGCAGGTAAATGGAGAAGGGAGGCTGGGGGCACTGGGCCTCTGCAGGCAGCCACACAGCGGGGCCGGGTCCCGGTGGGAGGGGCTGTCCCAGCCGCCCAGCCCAGGGTGTCTGATGCCAGGGAGTCCATGTCTACTCAGCCCCTCCTCCCAGCCCCTCAGCCACCTCGTTTCTGCCCCTGTGGCTAGGGGGCCTGAGCCAGGCCCTGGCTGGGGCCAATCCCAGAATCCAGGCCGGGTTGGCACCGACAAGGAGGGGTTGTGGGACGGTGGTCAGCGTGTGGAGAGCGTGGCGTTGGAGGGCATGGCGGGCACTAGGGCTGCGGGAGGCAGCACGGCACGATTCGTGGCCTGTGGCTCTGTGGGCATCCGCGCTTTTCCCGTGGGTTTGCTCTAGCTCTTGGCCACGATGCTGCCGCGTGTCCCTGGCTGCTTGACTCAGAATTATATTTGTTTCCTGAAGAGGGAAATGAACTTTCATGCAGTAAAATCTAAACAAATATTTGTATTTATTTTCTACTTCCGTGTCCTGTTTCAAAACTTATTGTCCAGCCCAAGATTTTAAAAAGTCAGATTTTCATCTAGTGTAAAGCAGGCTCAGGAAGAGGAGGAGGGGGAGGGGAGGAAGCCGGGGAATCCGGCTGGGCTTTCCTTGCTCATCCTCGCAATGGCTGCCTGGCCCTCAGCCCTCTTCTGTGTCTGGTCCTGAGTTCTGAGTTCAGAAGCCCTCTCCATGCTGTTGGGGCCCACCAAATCCGTCCCTTGTGGGGACAGCTCCCTCCAAGCCCTCTGGGGATGAACCCTGAGGGTAGGGCGGGGGAGTCGGGGGCAGGTCCTCCCAGGGCCTGGCGAACACAGGGGCCCATCCAGGGTGCCCCAGACTCCATCAGCCAGTTCTTCTCGAGAACAGAACAGTTAAGCCCAAGCCCTGGATGGAGGTGTGGGGAGAGGGCGTGGCTCCCGCCCCGGCAGGCAGGTGAGCGTCTGGGGATTCTTCAGTTCACTCTGCCCCGCAGCCTCACCCCATCTGTGCCTGCGCCTCAGGGAGCCTAAGCCGGCAGGGGCGAGGCGGTGGGACCTCGGGGAGCTCAAGCCTCGGCTGTCCCCTCACTGGAGGCCTGAGGCCAAGATGATGTCCACACTGGGCGGCTTGCAGAGGTAAGGGGGCAACTGGGCCCTCCTAGGTGGCCAAAGCGCTTGATCTGTGGATATTCTGAGACGGACAGAAGGGAGTTTTGTGCTTGTCTTTCAAAGGAAGTTACTTGGATTTGGAGGCTCTTCCTCCTCATGTTTCCCTCAGTCCACCTGCTGTGGCTTCATCTCGGAAGTAGAGGGGCCCCTCCTGCCCAGGCCTGAGGCTGGTTATGGGTATTTGGGGGTTCCTGGATGTGGGGCCCCGTGAAAAACCTGCCCCCCAATACTGTGGCATGGAGACGCTCGGGGATGGCCGAGGAGGGCAAGACCTTCTGGGATTGGGACCTCCTGGCCTTGGTTTGCAACTCAGGCCCGGGGCTGGGCCGTGTTGGTGGGAGTGCCTGGCGCTTGTTGGGACGTCGGTTGTGTGTGTGCTTTAGGATGGTCTTGGAGCTGTGGGTGGTGAGGGGGAGGCTGGGCTCTGCTGTGTTATCTCCCTTCTATAAACAGAGAGGAGGTGTATTTCTTCCCAGTTGGGTTTGGAGGGGAGGTGGGTGTGGCTAGAAATGCCTTGCATTTTCCTTCTCCTGCTTGCTATCTGTTTGGGGTTTCCAAGGCAGGTTGGAGCTGCTCCTGCCCTTGCAGGTCCCAGCCTCACCAGGGCACCTGCCGTCATGAATTCGATCACCTTCCTTTAAGGGGTGACTTGGGACCAGCTGCTGGGACACTGGCTGAGGAACCCGTCTGAGGGCTGAGAGGTGTGTGGCCTGCTGCCTGGCCTGGGTGTCTTAGGAGTCCTCTCCTGTGGACGTTGTGCCCACATTGGTAACAAGAGCGAAGCTCCGTCTAAAAAAAAAAAACCCAGGAGTATCCTCTGTTCCAAATAACTACTTCAGTCAATAAATCAGGTAACACAATACGAAAGCAGGCAGTTTAAAAGCTGAGACGGGTTGGGTGTGGTGGCTCATGCCTGTGATCCCTGCTCTTTGGGAGGCCAAGGAGGGTGGATCACCTGAGGTCAGGAGTTTGAGACCAGACTGGCCAACATGAGGAAACCCTGTCTCTACTAAAAATACAAAAAATTAGCCGGGCATGGTGGTGGGCTCCTGTAATTCCAGCTGAATATTCAGGAGGCTGAAGCAGGAGAATTGCTTGAACCTGGGGGGTGGAGGTTGCAGTGAGCCAAGATTGCGCCATGACACTCCAGCCTGGGCAACAAGAGTGAACTCCGTGAAAAAAAACCAAAAAAACAAACAAACAAACAAAAAAACAAAGCTGAGACAAACGTGTCTGTTTACACTTTTGGGGTTCCATAAGGAAAAGTAGGTTTCTTCCCCAAAGGGAGTCTGGCACCTTCTTGGTTTTCTTTAAGGAACCCCAGGCTCTTATGAACTATTTTAGGTCTCATGCAGCAGAGGGTGCAAGAGAAAGGAGAGACAGCAGAAGTAAATAAAGAGAAACAGAATTCAGTCAACTGAAAAAAGACTTTTGCTCAAAAAAAGGGCAAGGTCCTACGAGAGACAAAAAACCCCAAAACAAGAAGGCCTTTAAATACACACACACACACACACACACCCCTTGGATGTTAGCTTTCAAACATGAAGAAGGCCTTTAAATACACACACACACACACACACACACCCCTTGGATGTTAGCTTTCAAACATGAAGAAGGCCTTTAAATACACACACACACACACACACACCCCTTGGATGTTAGCTTTCAAACACGAAGAAGGCCTTTAAATACACACACACACACCCCTTGGATGTTAGCTTTCAATTAAACTGACTTTAACCATTGAGCTCCTTTAAAAAAAGGTTTTTAAATCTCATTACCGTCTTTCACCTGGGACAGATTGCCGCTGTTTCAGAAGTACAGCACTGCTCTTCCAGTTTGGTCTACCTAGTAAAAAGGTGGCCTTGTTATGTAAATAAAGTCCCATTAGTAGTCAAAATAAAAAAATCTTTCCTCTTTTTTTTTTTTGCTGGCGTTTTTCTCCTCCACCATGCCACCTTGTGTGTGTGTATGTGTGTGTGTGTGTGTGTGTGTGTGTGTGTGTGAAACACTTAACCATTTGAGAGGCTTTGTTCCCAATAATTTGAAACTTTTCTTCAGATTTGATAAAGTCAGATAGAGTTGGTCAAACCCAATGGGAATACTGAAACAGCAACAAAAACAGAAACAACAACAAAAAACAGTTAAGTAAAACAAACAATCACACAACTTATATGATTATTGAGCGCTCTAATGGTAAGGAGAAATTAAGACCAGTTGTTTGATAACTTTAGCCAAGACAGAACTCCAATTCAGCTACTTACCTAGGGATAGGTCTCACGCTGAAGACACTCTCTACCATCCTAGAAGCAGGAAAAAAAAAAGAAAAACCTCATCTTCCCTGCTGGAAGTGAGCTCAAACTCCGTAAAGTTTACCTGCCTTCTATTGTCATGGAAGCAGGAGAACTCCAAAAAAAAAGGGCGTTGTACAGCAAAATAAACCTTAGACCTTGACCAAATTTTGGGAGATCAGGGATTTTTTGGAGGGAGTACTCCCAGACCTCAGCAGATTGTCCTGTTGGTTTGAGCCATAGTTAGCTCATGTCAGTACCAGGCACTGATAGGAGATTTGTCAAAGGCCAGGGGCATCTCCACTTAGAGTCCCTCCATGGTTACCAGAATGCAAACCCTGCGATTTGAGATAGGTCTACAAAACTAAAATATCTTGGACAAAGCTAAAGTGAAATGTCGAACTGAGAACTGCTTTGGGCAAACCTGCCTCCCATTCTATTCAAAGTCACCCCTCTGCTCACTGCCATAAACGCATACCTGATTGCATCCTTTGAAGAGGCTAATCAGAA